ACTGGATGANCTNNGNGGATCNGNAAGGANCTNAGGTGNTGNTGGCCGGNTANGGTCANGAGTGTTGATGTNNTTGNTGTCTAGTCTAGGGATTTTACTTGCGTTTGGGAACCTCGGTTCAGATGATCCTGGCAACTTATGTAGCATCTTGGTCGCGCATGTTCTTGTTTGATTGTTGCATGATCAATTGGTTCAACTCTGGGTCTACGGCTGGTCGGGCATGTTCTTGTTTGATTGTTGTGCGATCAATCGGGTAGGCCTGGTTTGGACCAGAAAACGTTGCATTTTGGTGTGTTTTCGGGTGAAGCTGGTCGGGTTTCGGACGGGAGTGTTAGCCTTAGCAGGAACGGTGTTGTGTGATTCGAGGTAGAATCCGTGTTAGTGGGGGAGAATTGTAACACCCGTGAACCAAAATGTGTATTTTTGGTGGTGCGTCGATTGACACAGTGTGTGTGTGTCGATTGACACACGTGTTTGGACTCGCGAGGAGTCGGATTCTGGGTGTTGCGTCGATCGACACAAGTATTGTGCATCGATCGATGCAAGTTGAAATTGAACCGTCTAGTTCAGTTTTTGATCGCTTGGTTTGGCGATCAGTTTAGGAAACCCTAGGGTTCCATTATATAAGCGTGGGGATCGCGTTTTGTGGCTCTTTTAGCCAAAAATCAGAAGAGTTAGAGAGAATTGTGAGAGAAGTGACTTTCTTGAGATAAAAACAGTTATGTCCGATTTTAGAAGGGGAGACGAACGGCTAAGAAGATCGGATCGGATTGAAGCGAAACTTCTAGAGTAAGTTCTACACTCTCGTATCTAGCTTTGGGCGAAATTGGTTTGTAATTTGGATTAGTATTCTGAGAGTTATCGTCGTTTTACTAAGAGATGTTTCTGCAGTTTTGGGTCTGCGATCAGTCCATTAAGAGACGATCCGCCTATCTATGGAAAGCTCTCTCTATCTAGTTTTCAGAACAGGTTTCCGATCCTGTTTCTGATGTAATCTCCGTTCTCTGTGTTCTTTAGATGTCAACGTGTCGTTCATGTTTTCTGAGACTGGAATTTCCGGTTTCCAGTTCCTATCAACGAACTTGCGGGCTGTTTTTCTGTCGTTCTGTAAGGACCCAAAAGACTATCTATGTATCATTGGAAAGCCCCGAGTCTTAGCTTTCCAGTGCCACTGAGTTCGGTTTAATCTGAAACTTGAAACGCGTGTTATAACCATTTTTCCTAGGTGAGTGCGTGACCATGGTTTATTTGGGTAAAGGAATTGATGGAGTATGATTGTTTGCTGTTGTTTGGATTGGATTCTCTGTGTGTTTGTTGATGGGTTCATGCAGGAGATCGATGAATCGCTTTGGATTCGAGCCATGAGAGGATAGGCTCGATCCTCACGATCTGTAGCGATGCGTCGATCGACACAATTGCTTTGCGTCGATCGACACAATTGCTTTGCGTCGATCGACACAAGCGCGTCATGTCGATCGACACCAGGGTGGTGTGTCGATCGACGCAGTTGCAGTGCATCGATCGANNCCTAGTGGTTGTGTCGATCGACGCAAGTCTTCTGGACTGATTCATGTTGCTTGTTCGTGCATGTATTGTTGTTTGCTCATCCTGGT